CATCTCTCTGCTCGTTCAGCTCTCTCTCTGCAGGACGTCCCTGTGTCTCTTGATCTGGCTCGATGTCATATTTGCTGCCCACCAGGCAGCTCCTCTCTCTCTGGAATTCTCTCATCTTTGCTTCACAGTCTTTTGGCCAGAAGCCAGTCTCAGCTCCAGCTGCAGCTCGCTGTTCCATGCTGCCTCTGCTGCCATTTTTCCCCCCTCCACTGCAAGTGGGGAAGAAAATGCAACAGTCCAGGGGCCTCCCCGATTTTCAGGGTTTCTCTCAACCAGCAGCCTCATCGAGGGGTCAAGGCCGGCTGCTGTGCCACACCTGGTCCCCCGGTCAGGATCGGGGGGGGGAAGAGCCTCCAGTCTCCCTCTCTATCTCATGGCATCTCTCCAATTCCAGCTATGCCAACAAGCTTCTTTTCCGGCTTGTGTAATATGTCATTTACACAGAGGTGCATCAAGTTGTGATTGGCTCAGCGCCAAAATACACCACCCCTGGAACTAGCTATTTTCCAGCTCCGGGGGGGGCTCTTTTAAACCACAACAGTCCCCCTCTGTCTCCAGTGTCCATCTCTCCCTCACCCTTTGGCCTTTGGTCCTGCAGGCACTCAGCCTGAGCTGGGAATGAGGGGTCTCTGCCGGTGAATTTTGGCTTGAGGCTGGGAGGTGTCTCCGCTATGTGCCCAGGGACAAGCCCTGCTGCACCTGTGGTGGGGGGGGCTGTGCGTGGAGCGGGGAGGGAGGTGATGACAGAAGCGTGGGCAGGATCCAGCTGGGAGTGCAGGATCAGATTTGCATGGAGGGGCCGTATCCTGGTGGGGCAGGGGCTTAAAAGGGAGTCAGGGTTCACAGCACAGCTACATCATTGTGGGGATGTGGAGCTGGTGGGATCACACCATGGCCTGGGTCCCTCTCCTCCTCACGGTGCTCGCCCACACCTCAGGTGCCATGGGTGGACTCTCCATGCCAAGACAAGGCCTTTGGGCACAGGGGTCCCGTCCCTCTGCCCAGGAAGGGCTGTGCTCCTGGGACTTTGACTGACCCGTCTTCCCCTCTCTCTCCTCTCCATTTTCAGATTCCCTGGTCCAGGCAGCACTGATTCAGCCACCTTCGATATCAGCCAAGGTGGGCGACACCGTCAAGATCACCTGCTCTGGCAGCAGCTACAACTGGTATGGCTGGTACCAGCAGAAGGTCCCTGGCAGTGCCCCTGTCACTGTGATCTATGAAAACGACAAGAGACCCTCGAACATCCCTTCACGATTCTCCGGATCCAAGTCTGGCAACAGGGGCACATTGACCATCACTGGGGTCCAAGCCGAGGACGAGGCTGTCTATTTCTGTGGTAGCTACGACAGCAGCAGTAGTGCTGGTATATTCGGGGCTGGGACCATGTTGACCGTCAAAGGTGAGTCGCCAATTTCTTCTCGGTCTTTCCTTCACCGAGGCGAAATTGTGACATTTTGTCGATTTTTGCTGATTTGGGTTTTTTTTCTTGGACTTGGGGCTGGGATGAGGTCTGCCACCTGTTTGGGGATGGGCAAAAAGCGCAGTGTTTTGGGCTGGGTCGTGCCCCTGTGGACTCTGAGGACTCCGGCACGCGCCATGAAGGACTGGTGCGTATTTTCTGACATGAAAGACCTTAAAATTTTCCCAGGAAATATGTCTGAGGTCTCAGGAAGAGGAAAACTTGGGTTTAGGTCTCTAAAAGAGGTGATTTTTTTTTTGTTAAAGAAATTTGTCAGTCCAAAATCTAAGTCCTCAACTCTTAGTGCTGAGGACTAAGTCTATCACCACCAGTGAGAGAAAGGGGCTCCTCTGTGGGGTCCTGTGGCCGAGGGTGCAGGGGCTGTGAAAGAACAGCCATGAACAGCTCGTCCCTGGGTTCTGAAATAAAAAATTTCAGGGGTATCCCAGAGAGCCCATTGTCCAGGTAAGTAATGACAAAAATGGAGATTAATGCATTGACAATGCTGCTGGGAATGTCATTTTTCTTTGTCTGTAATTTTAAAAAGAATGTGATCAAAAATCCCAATTTGAACCAAATTACTGGGGGCTAAGATCAAAAAAAATCGTTCTTTGACCATTTTTAAGCGGAAATTTTTTAATGGTGAAGTCATCCTGGTTTTTGAATAGAGATAGAAATAGAGAGAGATAGACATAAAATGTGGTAGAGATATAGACACTGTGCATTGGTAGGAGGCACCAGAACCACATTGGAAAGACCAAACATCTTTTCTCCGTCTTTTCCTGTGTGATTTTTACTTGTGCTTTTTCTGAGACAAGTCTGAAATTGTC